GCTAAGGGACCAAATATATTTTTTATTATGAAATTATAGGTCCTTTGGTGTACCACTATTGTAATGGAATTTATACATTTTGAAGATTATTGCGATTATTTGTGAAATTTTGTTTTTTTGCTTTTTTTTTAAATAACCATATCATAACTAGTGTTTTTCAGATAAAAAGATATTATAGTTTTCAAAACAATTTAAAATAAATATTATATTTTTTAAAATTTGAGAACTTTCCTCCCAAGCAAGTAATGCTTTTGAACTAATGGTTCCATTTTAAAATATGAGTCATTAGTCATCACTATAATTTATGCGGCCAATGAACCTCCTAATTTGGCGTTGCATGCTATCTAAGTTGCATCAAATGAAAAGTAAGACACTTGGTTTCATTATCAACGTTTATTTGATTAAAATAATAATAATAATTAATCTAGATAGAATACTTTATTTGAATTATTCTAAATAAAGAAACTTTTATATTTAAATGAAGATACTTTTATAAAATTTTAAAAATGTTTATCTATGCATCAACGTTTATTTGATTAAAATAATAATAATAATAATTAATCTGGATAGAATACATTATTTGAATTATTCTAAATAAAGAAACTTTTATATTTAAATGACGATACTTTTATAAAATTTTAAAAATGTTTATCTATGCATATGTTCAATGTCTTGACCGCTAACTGTTTGCAAATATATATATATTATATATATATATATATATATATATATAATATATATATATATATCTATATATATATATAGATATATGCCTAAGTTATTCTATTCAAAGTAATTATTGTGTTATTGTATGCATAAATGTGGACAATCAAATTTACTTATTTTAAGAAAGTGATTAATATATATTATTGAATTAAATATAATTAAAAATATCATCTTAATTAATTACAAGGGTAATTTAGCCAATTAATATATATTTAATAAAGGAAAATTGTATTTTTTAAGAAATCATAGATTCTATTAATTTTAAAAATCCGATTTTACGTATTATAATTTTTTTAATTCGGACATTCTGACAGAATATGTATATGAGTATATTCAAAAATTAAAATATTCTTGAACCATAAATAATAAAAATATTCTTGAACATATTTCTTGATCATGAATTTAAAAACTTCTTGTAGAATAACAAATCCTTGAACAATCAATTAAAGAATAAAAACAAAAAACACATTATTTTTATAGAATACTGGTAACAATTGTTAAGAATTACATTTATTGTTAAGGAATAAAACTAAAAAACAATCAAAACGGGAAAGAAAACATCAAAATCTAACGACTAATACATTCTAAAAGAATAATGTGGTCCGTTTCAATTTTGTGGTCTGTTCTTCAAACACCAACTTCTGTGATTCCAACAGAATTGGAATTCGTCTTTTCATTCCAACAGAATTGGTATTCGTGATTCCATTCCAATAGAATTGGAATCTTACCAATATCATCCATTGAATCATCTACATAAACACTCTTTCATTCTCTATTCTTTTCTGCATCGATTCACAATCAATATTTAATACAAAAGAAAAATCACCCCTGCATTCCTTCTCTTCTTCGTTTTCAGTCAAGAACACACCACCGAAGTGGATGTTTTCTAGTGCAAATAGAAGAGATCAGCAGCTCCTTTCTCTTCTTCTTCTTCTTCTTCTTTGATTTCTGCCATGAACATCAAGAGACCAACAGTCTCTCCCTTTTCCTTCTATCTTTCCCTATTAAAAGAATCAAACAAACAAAAACTCCCCTTAGATCGTTTTTTGCCTGCTTCCATTTTCCTTCATTGTTGGCTGTTAAATCAGAAAGAAAGGGGGAGCAAGGAGATTACCGGAGCAGCCCCCCATCGCATCCCACACATTCTCCGGTCAAGCAAACACCTCCGAAAACCTCACCTGCGCCGCTGCTTTACTGCTCCTTGTCGAGAGCTCAGTTTCTAGGGTTTGTAATTCGAGAGCAGCTTGAGCTTCGTCGTTCGACTCCGAGTCGGAATCGGAACTTGATGCAGACTGGAATAAAGGGGTAATGGCGGTTGGAGGGACAAGGGTGGGGGTGTCGATTTGTTCAATTTAGGGTTTTCAGAATCGGTTTTTAGATAAACAGGGGAAGGAGATTTAAACTGGAGAGATACCATAATTATAGGGATTATTTTTGGAAGTTATTAAACAAATGACTAAATTACCCTTATTTATTTATTTAATTATTTAATTTTTTATTTAATTTTGATTGGCCCACATTTATACATACAATAACACAATACTTACTTTAAACACCTGAACCTATCTCTCTCTCTCTCTCTCTCTCTCTCTCTCTCTCTCTCTCTCTATATATATATATATATATATATATATATATATATAATATATATATATATAAGGAAAAGTTCAATAGAGAACCATTATTAATCAAGGAACCAAGGAACAAATCCAAAACGTCGTAATTTAAAGCGATCAACGGCAAAAGGAAGGGTTGTAAACTTTTATAATGGACGCAAATGTACCGGATTATAACAAAACTCACTTCATTTTTAGGCCAAGTTTTTTATCGAAAAAAAAACCGAATATACCATTGTTCACGATTTTTCGTCCTCTTTCCATAGAGATCCATGATAATATATATATATATATATAAAACGAATTTTTTTTTCGAAAAAAACCCACTTAATTTTCTTAGTTTTTTCAATATTTAAGTTTATTTTTATCAAAAAAAAACTAATTATACCAAAAATATTAATTTTTTATACTCTATTAATAAACATCAATACCGATTAAAAAAAATCATCGAACAGTGTAGATTCACACTGTGAATCTAAACTACAAATATTTCAATTTTTAACATTCACAATATGAAAAATCTCGAACAGTTCAGATTCACATTGTGAATCTAAATTACTATTATGCACAGTGTGAATCTGAGAAGGTTCACAAAAAAAAAAAAAAAAAAAAAAAAAAAAAAAAAAACCTCGATCAGTGTAGATTCACACTGTGAATCTAAACTGTAAATATTTCAAATTTTAACATTGACAATGTGAAAAAGTTCCGATCAGTTCAGATTCACACTGTGAATCTGACTTATTATTATGCACACTGTGAATCTGAGGAGGTTCACAATGTGAATCTGAACAGGTTCACAATATAAATCTGAATAGGTTCACAATGTGAATCTGAACTGAAATATCGTTTTTTTAAACATAAATATGAATCTATGTTTAAAAATTACAAAAAATATGAATTTTGATATTTATTAATTTTTTTCTATAAAAAATAGACCTAAACTTTTTTCATCAAAGAAAATAAAGTGAGTTTTTTTCGAAAAAAAAAAGTTCGTTTTTTATATATCATCATTGATCTCTATGGAAAGATGATGAAAAATCGTGAACAACGGTATATTCGGTTTTTTTTTAATAAAAAACATGGCCTAAAAAAAATTTTAAACGAAAAAAAGTGGTGGGTTTTTTTATAAATGTGAATTTTTTGGTATAATCCGGTGTGTGTGCGTTCAATGTAAAAATGTACATCTATTTTCTTGGCCGTTGATCGTTATGATTTCCGACGCTCACGATTGGTTCCTTGGTTAATTATGGTTCTATATTGAACCTCACCCTATATATATATATATATATATATATATATATATATATAGATATATATATAGATATATATAATATATTATATATATATATATGAGAACTCAAAAAATTTATAAAAAAACAGACAAGAAAAGAGATCAAGATGACTACCAAATTCATACCAGAATCCTTGATTGTACTAGCTTAAAATCAAGACCACAAACACTTTAAAAAAAATTATATGATTTAGAAAAACATTATAGGTGGTATTAGTCAATAAAAAAACATCTATTTCAAAAATATGCATATATACAAACGTTGTTGTGCATATTAGTACATCAAAAATTTGCATATATGCACCTCGCACCTCCAGTCTTGGTTAGTAAATAGAACTCAGTTTATCTTAGTATTAATAATAACTACACTGAAATTACTAATAATATATATATATATATATATATATATATATATATATATATATTATATATATATCTATATACTAGGTTACAACCCGTGAAACCCACGAGTAAAATAAATTTTATTTTTAAATCATATTTATTCTTAAAATTTTATTTCTCAACTTTCATCTATGATTTCTTATTAAAATTGTACCGAAATCCATACCTGTTGTGAAGGTGCCACACAATCACAAAAGTTAGTTGAAGTTGAGATCATAAGAAAAATGTTCTACAAAAAAAAAACACTAAAAAAATCACTATTTTTATAATTTTGTACGACTCTAAAATCCCTTTGGGCCCTCCCTTAAATTTTTGGATGCTTGTTACGATAATACTACATAGTAAATTATCAATAAAATTTCAAAAAATATAAAAAATAAGCAACCAGAAACACATTTATATAATGTTTTTCTACTTAACCATTTAATAACTTCAAAAGAATTGACTTTATCATACAAAAAGACTTAACGACACAATCTCCTTCAAGTTTTCTTTCAACAACCCTTAGATCACTTTGATCAATCCAAACAATTCTAATTTTTCTTTCAGTGGCTATTTGATCACAGCAAACAATTCCAATTTTTCCTTGTTAACCTATATAAAATTAAATGTAAAACACGAGGAAGATATCTATAGAATAATTATTTGTTAAGTGAGAATGACAATAATTTTAAACATTTGTAGATTAATAACAATTTATGTATATTAATTCTTGTATTAAATCACAACTTTATGGTTAAACCATTTGTAATGACTGTTTTAACTGTTAACAAAAAAATGAACAAAACTTGTAGTATTATGCTTTAAAATACACTATTTACAACCATACATGTTTTATTACATATAAACAATATTATCATACACAAATGGTAAGTTATAGTCTTTTTATTGCAATTGTATTCTTATCATTTAATTAAAACTAGAGGGGTTACCCGCGCATTGCGTGGAGCAGAATATGTTTGCTTTCTGAGACAAATAAGGAAGTACATTGCATAAATTCGTATCCAAATTAAAGTATGTTGCTATTCTGTGTAATTTGCCATCACTCGGATGAATAGAAATGTAAGCAGAAATTGATTACTTAATGCACAAAAGCTTCTTTCCAACCTCCACGGCTGAAATCGAATCAATTTTCTGAAAAGGACTATGATATACATTGCAAATTTACTTTTTTGCCATTTTGCAAAACTAAATACTTACAAAAACTTATCAACAAAAAATGATTACTGTTAGAATCCAATCCCTGCAACACATTTTCAATAAAAGTTAGGAGTACATCTCATATTCCATATCTAGCCACCAAAAAGTCATTCTAGAAATTTCTTAATATTAAAAAATTGATATGTATGTGTTCAGCAAAAAAATATAAAGAAAAAGTAGCTTAAACTCGCACCCCTATCTATCAAAATCTAGAACATAACAAAAACATAACAATATATCAGCTAAAAACATCAAGAAAAAAACACATCTAACTAAAATGTAATAACAAAATGAACATAGTTGACAACATTATGGATTTCCACCGTATGCAGCATAATGTAAAGGCGTATTTCCAGCACCTAAAATCATATAAAAAAAATCGATTCTGATTGTAACAAAAACTTAACTCACAACATTTGGGGCTCATATTTTGTAAATCATATCAAAAAGAGTATAAACTTAAACTTACCAATTAAGTTAATTGTAGTTCCATCTTCCACAGTGACTTCATTCACTGAAGTCCCTAAGTCAAGTAGTAAATGCAAACAGTGAACGTGTCCATTTAGTGCAGCCATATGAAGAGGAGTTACACCTCCATCAGTGGGTTTATTGATTATTTCATAAAGTGACTTCCTGTGAATAAAGTTTTAAGTTTTTATCAAACCCCATATAAAAAAAGTAAAGACCCATACAATTTCTTGGATCATACCTGCTGACCTATTTAACACGAAACAAAAAAATATTCAAAAAAATATCGAATTGTTAAAATCAATAGGATTCAAAACTCCAAAAAATGTATGTATGTGTATATTACCTCCACTGCACAACACCGCCAACTCTTCCGGGTGGTGGCATCCATATGAGTGGGTGGCTGTTTGAGTACTTTCATCGAACAATTGAAGTGCAATCTTCCAAACTCCACCTGAAGAGACAATTTCTTTGTGTAAGGACCTACTTTTCAATTCAAATCAGCATACCAAATACAATTTAATAAAATCAGAAAGAATTAGACATTATTAGTTACGTGATTCAAGATCAAAAAACCGGAGGCGGAAGAAAAAGCTTATAGCTGGAACGTTTCTATTTCATCCCATTTTCCTTACCTATCCCTTCCACATCGTGTCTTTGCATCTGAATTTACTCTTACATCTCCTTCTCTCTCATATAAGACATAAATCTACTAAAAATCCACAAAAAACGAAAAATCAATCATTAATAAAAAAGAAGATGTTTAGAAATATTAAATTGCTTAATCAAAACATATTACTGATATTAGGACCGACCAAATCACCTCAAAATCGAACTGTAGGTTAGTTAAAAATCTGAAATCAAAACTTGCTTACCTGAAAAACGCAAAGTGACAGTGGTGTAGAGTTTGAACCCTAAATTAGCAGGAAATTTGAGAAGAATGACGATAAACATAGCAGCACGAAGCAATAACACAAAAGATAAAAGAAAAGGGGATGCAGACACGTTTGATTGAGGAAAAGCAAAGAAGAACCACAGTCAATTTTCGTATTTTACAGATATGAATTGTGTGATTTGTAGGTGGGGGGCTGTTCTATGTGGGTTACTAATGAAACTGTTGAAAGTAATTCAGAATCGAAAAAACCAAAACCAAAACATGATTTAGTGAGTTTGGTGTGATTTACCGAGGAATCGACAAGCCGACCTCGGCACACTGTCGCCGTCCACATCGCCAAAGCCGTTGACTCTCCTGCCTTCTGTCATTTTTGTCCTAGAGGCGACGTCTTGGTCGATATTTCTTTGGATGGAAATCGAATCGACCACAGTGAACGAATTAGAAGGGTGGAGATGGTGGCTTCTATAGAGTAGAATAGAAGACAGACGTTTCTGAAAACGCATGCCGCCTCCTATCCTAGCCTCCGCCTGCGACGCACGACCTCCGGTTTGAAGTGGTGAACCGATGTCGTTTCTCACCAGTTCAGATCGTTTGTTTTCATCCGGAGGATACGAACAGAAACTGTGGAGAAGGATAACTATGTACCTTTTTAGGGTTCTTAAATTGAAAACCTTGCAGATGAAGAACACATATCAGGGCGATAACGAAGCGGGTGACGGCAACATCGCCTTCTTCAACACGAAGGACCATTTCTCTGGTGCGATAGGGAGGGGGTGGGGGGAAGACAAAGCAGCGATGAGAAAGGAAGAAGGAAAGAATTAGATTAGATGGCGTGCGAGAAGCTTCAAGAGAAGTCACAATTCAAGGTATCCAGAGTTAAATGAAAAATTCAAACCAAAGTGAAAGGGTTGTTTGTGAAAAAAACATAAAGATGAAGGGTCAATGTTATAATTTGGAGGACCAAAATTGACAAAAAAAGTGTCACTTTACTGTTAAAATCTTTCATAACTTTAATATATATATATATATATATATATATAATAATAATAATAATGTTTGATTTAGTAATAACATTTGACTGTCAAAAATCACTTAAAAACGTTGAAAATCCCCATTAATAGAAAGTTGAAATATTTCAAAGTTTGACTTAAAAAGTCCTATAGGACCTTGTTCTATTATTGTATGATTAGTTCCAAGAAATTGATGAAAGATGATTATCACTGTTATCTTGTCAAGTTCTTTCTTCCTTGGGTTCATAATGTCTTATGGTTTCCTTTCATGCTTGTATGGTATTTAAATAAGTAGAACCATAGGGGTAATATTGGTAAAATAGTTTCTAAACAAAATAATATCAGAACTCATCTTGTGGTGGTTGAATAATTAATAACCATTTTGCAAAACAGGGGTCCAAAAATCAAGTAACCCAAACCAAAACAATGGAATTTGATCGCAGTGATTTGGTAACTGTATTGCCAAAAAATTGCATCAGCCAAACTGTTGTGACGCTTATAGGCTATTCACTCAAAAAAACATGTGTTAGTGATTATTACTGACAACTTTAGATGATACGTAAGTGCAAGGTACAAGATGATGACCATCAATTCCATTGTGGAATCCAAATCATGAGGGCATTACTTACAATTTCTCATCACCAAACTTCCATCACACAAGTTTACACGACGATTAATGATTTCCCTCCAGAACATATGTACAATACTAAATTTGTATAAATAAAACATAGGATTTTGTTATTTCATGAAAAAAGAACATTGGTTATTGAAGTTATTGGAAGATTTATTGAATTACCTTCCTAATCCATTGTTGAAAACTATCAAAACAAACCTGCAGAAAGAAACAAATGCATAAAGTATGAATAAATTGTATATTGAGTTGATAAAAGAAAGGTAATTTGGAGAAAAAGATGGATATAAAGAAATGAAAGTCTAGGGCTTACTGATCTGAATCATCAATCAATATGATCCCTAAAAAAGGGGTTTAACCATAGCGATGTCGACGAAAAATAAAAACCTATAAAACCAATAACTAAAAATTAAAAAGGTAAGAAAAATACCTAATGAGATTTATGTTGTCATTAATGGAATTTCAACCAAGAAGAAGAAAAGATGAAGAGTAATGGAGCAAGGATGTTTGTTGAACAGAAGGCGATGATGGATTTAGAGTAAAGGGTTTATGGTTGTGGTGATGGAGATGACGAAGGGGGTAATAGGCAGTCACATTATTGCTGAAAGCCATCTAGGGTTTGGGATATAAGAGTCGGAAATCGGGATTTAACATGAACGGGATTGCATTGAAACCGAAATGCGACTATGAAGGAAGGAATAAAACAGAAGATGGATGGACGGATAGAGGAAGAGGGTGAACATAGCAGAATCCAAATCTATAAACTTGGAATTCGACTATAAAGGAAGCAATTATGAGGGGTATAACAGTTGTCGATGGTCATCTAATTGACTGATTTTCAGGGATGGAAAATATTGTTTGAATTCGAAAGGCAATAAGGGCAAAAAAGGAATTTCAGTTACATTGAAAACTAATGCTAGAAAAGACACGTGGCATTAAGATTCTTTTATTAAGAATGAAGATATATATATTAGGATACGTTAAAAACTAAAAAGTTCACGAAAACCCAAAACTTTTTACATATGTGTGTGAATGTGTGTGTATATATATATATATATATATATATATATATATATATATATAACAAAAAAAAAGTCAAAGATTATTTAGCTAAATAAATTAACGGTTTATATTGTTTACTATAAAGTAAAATAGGTTACTAAGAAAGTTGATTGCTTAAGCAAAGTGATTAGTTTTGGGATATGTAGTTGACTAATTAAAAATAGAAACAATGTAGTTTTACTTATGGGGTTGGCTAAAAATACACTTATTTAAAGTGGTCAATGAGATGTCTAAAGGGTGTCTTACTAGCGTCGTGGTTGCTTGTGTAGATGCTCATAAATTTGTTTATTGTGTTGAACACGGTTTCTACATCAAACTTATTGAGAATTCGACCAAGTAGGTATTTTTCATGAAAGGCAATATGTTTGTGTTGGTTAGTTTAGTTATACTCAGTTAAATCTATAGCTTTTGAAATTTGTTTTATATAAATTATTTATTTTCCAGATGAGTATTCATGAACTCTCATCCCGGAATACAAAAGGACAAGGAATACAAAGGACAATGTATACAAATAGACATTGTTCCAGAAACAAACTTTGTACTATGCTCGTCGTGTAAGATGGGTACATACAAAAATATGACTTTTAATTTAGGCTATGATCATGCTGAAATTTGTTTTCTCATTAGGAGCATCTCCAAACACACACTAACACCTAAAATTTACACCAATATTGGAGTTAACTTGCTTCAACTCAACAATATTTTTTACAAAAATATAATATCAGTGAATAATATAAGACCTAATGCTACAATATTAATTAACACCAAATATAATGTTCAATTTTGAATTGTCTAATAATCACCAAACATGAGAAACCGTGTATGGAAAACCAACACGCGTTCATACCATTTGCATTTGATACGTTTGGCTTCATTGCGCCGGATGCGGTGGAGCTTCTTAGTAGACTACAACGGATCATGCATAGCAATGTTATATCCCCTAGATCTATGGATGTAGTCTTCAAAAGAATTGGCTTTACCATACAAAAGGGCTTAGCTGCGCAACTTGTTGCCCGTTTGCCTTCTCATTCGTTGTATGATGATAACTAAGATTGAGAATTTATAATGTTTGTATCTTTTACTTGTCAGAAAATTATTTAATTATACGTTTGATTTTTATAGATTTTAATTTAAAAAACTAAAAAAAAATAAAAAAATAAAAAAATAAAAAATAAATAAATAAATTCTAGCCTATATTTAATAATTTTACAGGTGTTATTATATTTAATAATTTAAAATGAAATACATGTATAAATAAAACACAATTGATATATAACTAATAACAACAGCTCATTGTTCCATATAAACACATCAAGAATAAATAAATTCATTTGATCTACTTAATATTTTTATTGAATATTTATGGGAAAACAATTTCAATACAGGAATGAATATATAATTTTTTGTGGTAAATTACACGAATGGTCCTTGTGGTTTGGGGTAATATGTGTTGTTGGTCCCTAAGAAGTTTTTTTTTTCACTCAAAAGGTCCATATTGTTTATTTTTTGCGTCTTTAGTCCCCGTTTGACTTAAAATGACATTTTTACCCTTATTATTTCTTTTTTATTTACTTATCATTTATTTTATAATTTAACAAATACAATCATTGGGTACCACCCACCCCAAAACACTCCACCCAATCCACCCCCTCCCCATCGCCCTATTCATTGAGTCATTCGTCTCCGGCAACCCACCACCACCTCCTTTATTTTCTTCGACTAGCTCGCAGTTGACCCTTTTCCACATTCTACAACCTCAAACGACCCTTCTTCCTCCTCCACCATTCTCCTTGTTTTCCGACATCGCCTATCACTGTCTCGGACACCACAACCACCTGTCCTTCCTCCCTTCCCCTTTCTTCTCTGCCCACCTACAACTCCACTGGTGATTAATACCAAAAGAACAACAAAAAACATTTCTCCAATCCATGCCAAATTACAAGAAACACACAACCGAAATTGATTTTACCCCCGGTGATAACGATGGTATATTGCAAGTAAGGGGGATGATGTTCGTCGACATCAGAAAGCTTGATCTCCATCGGAACCTATCGACATTGAGATGTAGAAACGACCACCATATGTACTCTAAACTCCATCGATCTGCAACATCTGGTTCGTTTTAGGGATTTGAAGCACGTGCATTTCGATTTTTTTTATTTCGAAAAATACAGGTGGGCTTTGATTTTGGTGCACTGCTTTGATGTGGATTAGTCTTGATTTGATTATTGGCATATGCTTTGGATTCAATATTTCACCATATTTGAGGTTTAGATGTTTAGGAAGAAGATGGGGTATGTATATGTTTCCGACCACCACCACTACCACCGTTCGATTGCAGATGGAAGAAAATGATATTGTTCCGATCGATTGCATATCGGAGATACATCAGCGTTAAGAAACAGAGATACATTGTAGTAGACAAATGAGAGATGAGATGAGAGAAGCTTGATGGTGTGAAGTTGAGAAAGGGTTGGTTCACCGGAACTATCCAAGGAAGCGGCGGCTATTTAAGGGTTCTTTCCTAGCTGAGAAACAAAGAGACTGCATCAAAAGAATAATTTATATTGGGGGTGGGTATTACGCTGGTGGGTTTTGTTTTGTTTTTTTCTTTTTTTTTAATTATAAAAAAAATGATATGTAACATACACATTCAGTTATCGTGTTTTGTTAGTTTAAAAATTAATATTATTAAATAATATATGGTTTTGAGTGTTGAGTTCTAACAAGATAGTTTTATGAGAATTGAAGTAAAACTATGTTTAGAATCATTCGGGAAATATTGGAAGTCATATGAGATACCAATCAAAAGTCAAATATTGAAATTAACGAAAATGTAAAATTTATGTTGGAAATAAGTAAAAATAATGTTATTGAAAGTTGTAAATTATCTCGTTAGAAACGTTTAGGCGAAAACCTCATCGAAATATGAGTTATAACGAAGAAGTTATGACTTATTGAAGTTTCGCGACAGAACCGGCACGACGCCATATGACGTAAAAAGTGAGTTTACGATAAACTACTTTTTAGCTTAAGTGATCTAAATTAAAGTCGTAGTATTCGTTAAACTGATAATTTTCATAAAAAGAACGTCCAAATCTGACTTCGTATGAGAAAGTTATGATTTTTCTAAAAATCGGCATAGCAGTACACAGCCTGAAACTCGAAATAAAGATC